GTTAATATTTATTTTTTCAATACTCTTAACATGTAAAAACCCTTGTCAAGAGCTTTCATGAAAGGAGCAGTCAAGCTCTTGAGTTATTGTTGTTGTTGCCTTTTTTTCATTTTTTTTTTAAAGATAAACCCAAATTTTAATGTTCTTGCAAAAAACTCAAATTTAGTTTTCAACTTTCTGTTCTGTTTCATTTCAGTTCTCCGCTTTGTAAACTTATATCAATTATGCATGCATGTCTTTCATATGAGAATGGTGTTTTGCAGTATGGACTGCAGATTTTGTGTGCATCTCGATATTGAAATTATTAAAATACTATTAATGAATAAATATGGAGGGTGTATTTTGATAATTTCAGTACTTAGACTATAGAAAAAAAGTGTAATTCATAATAGGAAACATTTTTTTGCTTTTGTATATGAGATTTATATAATACAATTCGAACCATATATTAAATATGCAATTTACCCTATATATTTATTAAAATACCCTTAATAAAACAACAAAGAAATAGTTTCGTTAAGAGTATTTTAATAAATTGATAAAGTAAACTGCACTTTAATGTATAGTCTACCTTGTAAAATCCATCTTTGTTTGTATATATATATATATATATATATATTTTTTGAAAAGCAAAAGTAATATTTATTGCTACGGAGTACAAGGGGTACCCCAAACCCGTAACCATCTCAGTTTGTAAGGCAAAGAGTTACATAGTCAAAAGCCCTTCCGTTCGGTGTCGACATCTTTGTTTGTATATTGCAATTAGCTCAAAAATTTTTCTAATGGTTTCAAATATATCCTTTTCTTTTGACTCCTTAACTCCAATATCTGTGCTTATATACAACCATATTAAGAGATGCCTTTATTCTTTCATATGAAGGATCGTGAGATGCCTTTATTTTTTTCTTCACTCTTAAATGAACTTCCCAATATTCTTTATTCTTTCATATGAAGGATTGTGAGGTGCCTTTATTCTTTTCCGTTGGGAAATATGAGTTCATTTAAGTCATTTAAAATAAATTGAATTAAGTCCTTAAATTTAAAGTATACAACCATATTTCATATGAAGGATTGTGAGATGCCTTTATTCTTTTCTTCACTCTTAAATGAACTACAAAACTCCAATCTCTTCGCTTATATACTTAAATGATTTATCTTACCTTATAATTCAAACAAGTAGTAATTTCCAATTTTCTTGATTTTATGCTTATTTATTATTCATTCATTTTTTAATG